TACTTCCAACCTCAGTCAGTTTAGTTAATCCAAAATCTGCAACCTGCAATAAAAGAGAAATTTCATTGCAACAATGTGAACAAGCTTTCAAAAGTTCGTAGTGGAAATATAGGCACTAAAGTAACCTTGGCATGGAAATTCTTGTCTATCAGTATATTGGCTGATTTTATATCCCGGTGGATATAAGCAGGAACAGTATACTCATGAATGTATTCAAGACCTCTTGCTGAATCTAGGGCAATCTGCACTCTATTAGACCACGGTAGTGGGTCTCTCCCTGGAAAAAAATTAAACGGTATTATTACCATTCTCCTGCGTACAGAAGCACTTAGAAGCACTAAAATCCCCATCATGCACAGCCTAACCTGAACCACGTAGATGTTGGCTTAAGTTTCCATTCTCAATGTATTCATAGACTAGGAAAAGAGAGCCCTCAACGCAATAACCAATCAAGCGCACCTGCATTTATTGTCTAGAAGATTAGAGATAATCACACGTCTTAGAGATCCGTTATGCAACGGCTACAAGTACTGTAGTACTAGTATAACCTCACAACTAGATTAAATGGACAACTAACTCGTAAAAATTCTTCTCAGAGAACATTAAATTTATTCATAATAGTATTTCTATAAATGCAAAATCAGAGTTAAGTATAAGTAACAAAACACATTGCATTGCCGCATTTATATACTAACACACTTATCTTATAACATCCTTTTTCTTAGTCCAGCTGTCTTTCCAGTACTTACATAAAATAAATTTCTCTGATCACATACTTAACCTCTGATTTCTGAGCTACTAGGCCATACTTGCAACCTGATAAGAGTTTGTTGGTTTACCTAGTCTGAACCACTAGTCCCAAAAACTTGAAGTTGTTACGATGTGATGTGGAATCCAATTTATATTGGGAGATTGGAAATAAAAGGATTCAAGGAGATTCTTTTCAAAATGTATCAAAAAATAGACACATACAAAAGCTCTTCTAGTAAAAAATATGCTAAGCAAATATGTGGATTAAAATTGCTAAGTGAAAAGAAAGCATCAATTACTTCATAATTCTTCTGCAAGATCCACGTACATTGTCATTGTTTGGAAAGATAAGTTCATTACCAGATTCAAATGATGTACACGAGTCAAAACATTTAATTCGGCAAGAAATTCTTTTGATGCTTGCATATCCATCTTCTTGATTGCAGCTTTCTGCAAAGAGAGAGTTATAGGGGTTGGACTTCTAGGAGAAGAAATAAACAATTACAGCATAAACAAAACATGGTCTAGAGATGCTAATGCTCACACATTAGCTCATAAATAGTACTAGCGAATTAGCAAAGTAGAATAGATGCTAATGTGCATTAAGGCACAGTTTCACAACTCCCAGGATCAGGAAATTGGAGTAGGAATGTTGTAAATGGAAACACTTTCATCTTTAATCTAAGCAAATGAAAATACATTGTCTGACACTCTGAGCTAGTTTTCACTCATTTGATAAATCTCTCTTCCAACTTACGTGTTCAATTCCCTTCGACTAGAAAATTCAGAGCAAAGTAGATTATAGTCACAGGAAAGTAGTTTTATGTATTCAGCTATGTCTTTTATGAAGTAGCTCTCAAAAACATGCTAGTTATTTGATAATATATCAAAACTTTCACTTTCTTCAACCTAAAAGAATTACATAATGGTCCTAGTCCCCATACGATTTCCATCCAACTAAAGGATAAAAACACCATGAAACTTGAGAAAATTTTCTTTTACAGTCCACTATGATACTTGAGAATATTAAAGGAAACAAACCTCGCCTCTCAGCTCTGCATAGTAAACAGCTCCGAAACCTCCTTGTCCAATCTTATTAGCCAGACTGAAGTTATCAGTAGCCCTGGAAAGTTCTTCGTATGAGAACTCCACTGATTTGTCCACGGAAATGCCTGTTGGGCCTCGACCAGCACCATTTGATTCTTCAGGCTTATCTGTGGTAATCCCAAGGGCTAGACCAAGAAGAAAAAAAATTCTTCAGGCTTATCTGTAGTAATCCCAAGGGCTAGACCAAGAAGAAAAAATCAATTAAGTCATGTCAAATATCCATTTGGTGCCAAAACCATGGAGTGTATAAGGGCAAGAACTAGTAAAATAAAATAAGTTATTTGCAATTACGTGCAAAAAAATGATGCTAGACAAAGAAAAGTTTCCAGTTTGTTCAACAAAAATGAACCACTAACAAGACTAAATGAATGCTAAATGAGAAGGATGACATCATAAATTATGGGCCTTAGTCAGCTACTCTAACTGGTGTTTCCGCAAAGAGTCAGAGTTAAAAGATACTTGATCAATCCAAAAAGATATTTGAAGAACTCTTCCATTCACAAGTATCTACAAATTAAGGTACAAGGAGAGGAGTAGGTAACATACAACGCCCATTCTGAGAAGACTGATCATCAGATGTTGCTAAGAGCAATTTTGCATCCACCTTGTTCTTTCGTTTATATCCAAAATATGCACCACCACCCAATATCAGCACTCCAGCAATTACTGCCACACTTATGCCAGCAATGGCTACACCTGCTAGTCCTGCTTATACAAAAGAAAAATATGAGATCCAGGTAGCATTGAGTATCTAACCAAACCCTCTCACATTTGCATATGAACATGAAACCAATTTTTGGAGAAGGTCATAACACCTGGGCTGCAAAATGGACAGAAAGAAATAAAACTCAGAAATCTTAACAATTTTCGGAAGACAGAGAGGAAAACAAGATGTAATAATAATTCAATTAACATGTTGAGGTAGTTGAAGCTACCTTGACTTCAGAGACCGATAGCTTCCGTTTTCATCTGCAAGATAAAAAAGAAACAAGAACTTGATATTTAATCCCTCTACAAAACTATATTGAAATTGAGGTAATGCTTCATAGTTCCCCAAAAACTTGATATCCAATTAACTATTCATGACACTGTATTTATTTCCATTTGGGCCACCCTGAAACAACTCAATGTTTTCACTAGCATTTTGACACATGCATCAATGAATCAGGGACAATGGATTAATAATACAAAGAGGATGATAATTAAGCTAAAAGCCTTATCATTAATGACTATAATTAAGGTAAAAACCTTATCATTAATGACTATCTTACAACAAGACAGTTATTGTTTTATTGTTCTCTTGACCAGTTCAAAACCTCAGCCAAGATGCCCACCCAGTCCATAGCCACAGGAAAGGCATTACACCACCTAGCACTTTACCAAACATTATTGACAGAG